TCCACCCCACCCACACCCCCGACTTTTTGCTTCTTTTGAGTCATGTTCTCTCACCCTCGGGCCCAGACTGGCCATGCTGAGTGCTAAGGTCACAGGCGTGTGCTGTCAGCTGACTGTGTCACTGGCTTCTTGATGGAGCACCCGCCTTAAATGTCCCTATAGCAGTTGCTTACCTTTGCCTTTTGTACAGATGACCCCAGCCCTTGCTTCCTGTTTCTCTTCTCAAGGGAAAGTTAAAAGCCAGAGTCGGACTTTCAGTGCTTAGAAACCTCAATTATGCTGGGCGGTGGTGGTGCACGCCTTTGATCCCAGCACTCAGGAAACAGAGGCAGGTGGATCTCTGTGAGTTCGAGGCCAGCCTGGTCTACAGAGCAAGTTCAAGGACAGGCTCCAAAGCCACAGAGAAACCCTGTCTGGAAAGAAAGAAAGAAAGAAATAAAGAAAGAAAGAAGGAAGGAAGGAAGGAAGGAAGGAAGGAAGGAAGGAAGGAAAGAAGGAAAGAAGGAAAGAAGGAAAGAAGGAAAGAAGGAAAGAAGAAGGAAAGAAGGAAAGAAGGAAAGAAAGGAATCTAAATTGCCATCACCTGCCACCAAGGCCAAACTCAAGCTGCCCTGCGTCATTACCATCAGCAATGACTTCAGCGTTCCTTTCACAGAGGGACAGAAGAGTCCCAGAGTAGGACTGGACAAGACACATCCCCCGTCCTGGCCTAAGGATGAGGTCTCCTCCAGGGTCTGCAAGACTGGCCTGAAGCCCACCTTCCCCTCTGTCTTCAACCCACTCCTTCCTTCCCACAAAGCAAAGGCGCCTGCCAGCCTCACTTCTGCTTCTCCCTCCAATCCTCCTCCCATTTACTGTCGCATTAGTGCTACTGTTTGTTTAATTGTGTTGTGTGAGTGTGTTAGTGTCTGCGTGCATGTGTATGTGAGCATGCACACGTGAGAGAACGTGCCAGAGCGTGTGTGAGATGAGTGTGTTATTAGGGACTAAACCAAGCATTGTCAGATCTTTAAAAATGTTAAATTCATTTTTCTTCGTTTTAAATCTCTATAGTCCATTATTGGATCAAGATTCCTGGTTGGCAGACAGTGATGTATTAGCTAAACAGATCTGTTTGGGGATCACCCATTACCCATCTAGACAGGTTTTGGTTATAGTTTTCCTCTTGCTTTTTGTTTTTTTCTTTTCGAGGCAGGGTTTCATTGTATAGCCCTGGCTGTCTTGGAACTCACTCTGTAGACCAGGCTTGCTGGAACTCAGAGATCCGCCTGCCTCTGCCTCCCAGGTGCTGGGATAAAAGACATGCACCAACCCTGCCTGGCTACACTTTTCCAGTTGGTGGAATTGTTCCGTTTATAACGTTTTACACATCAAAAGGTGTGACTCTGACCACACTGTCCCCTAACCTCTGAGAAGTGTCCAGTTTTAGTTGGTTTTTACAGAATTAGACACTTGTTAGGTTGTTTACCAAAATTCTCTTGACAATGTCATTGGACAGAGTTCAAGTTCATTATTGGGCAACCATTATTACTAAGTGCTGAAATTAACGGGTTAAGGTATAATAAATATCAAGATGCTTATAAAACATTAGATTATCTATTAATTTTTTAATTACAAACGAAAAAATAGTAATGTCATAGTGGAGAAGCTGGCAGACTTTAACCAACATGGTGGAAGCATCGTGTGGCAGAAGACACGGCCTACACTGCCACCAGCGGTCTCAGCAGTGCCCCTATGCTTTGGGAACCTCCACTAAGGCAAAACCAGGTCATTAAGTTTGCCCCAAAAGAATTCTATGAAGAGCCAGGATAGTGCAGAGCTGAGTTTGAGATTGCTGACAGATTTGCACCTGGAAGCTGAGAGAAGCGCAGGGAAGAATAAGTCACACCTGGGTGTGAGGGAGAGGCGGGGGCTCCTCTGCAGAGTCCCAGGTGCGTATCCTACAGCAGCCACGCACGTCCTTCCGGTGGGCCCTGGAGTTGCCGCTCAAGTGTTCCCGGAAAACTTAAGTGAGAATACAAGGTGTTTTATTGTAAACAAAAACTTCTACTAAAGGTTTTGCTTGTAATTCCCAGAAGATACCTGGTTTGCACCTGGGAAAAGGGCAAGGCCACGCTCAAAGGTCTACCATGATCAATTACACGTGCGTCATGGACATTTAACTTTCTCACTTGAAACGGCCTCTGTATAAATAGTGTCTCTGTGTGGACCAGCCTCCTAGCAAGCTTTAAGCCTGGGCCTCTGGAATCTCAGCTGGCAAGAGACTTTAGTCCCTGGGGTGAGGTCCCTTTCTCTTTTCCTGTCGTTCTACCCTGCCTCAACACCAGCAGAGGAGAGAAACACTTCTCTACTTCAAGTTACGCAGTCACAGACACTAGCCTGAAATTGGCCTGCTTACGCCATAGAGATTGGCAAATGTTGCAGGTTAGCCCCACCGCCACCCCACCAGGGCAGTAAACAGCTAAGAGCACAGCCCTGGATGGGAGAATTGTTTTCAGGTGGTGTCTCTTGGCATCACACAACACAACACAACACAGGCAGTCTGCCTAAAATGCTTGATCTTAGCCTAAGGAGAAAACAGGGCAACTACGCTCAAATCCTACAAAATAAGCAGCTTGGAGGCTGGGATGGTTGTATGCCCTAGGCCATGGCTTTGCTTCACAGAATTGTGAAGGGAAAAAGCCTGCACTGGTAAAATATCAGGGTCATGAAAGTTAAAGTCAGTTAAGGTATTCTTTCAGTCATGAGGATTGAAGCCACATGACTGGATCCTAGATAAAATTCCATGCACACTGAATAATTGTTGGTGGGCTGGTACAACCAGTAAAGTGCTTGCTGCCAAGCCTGATGGCCTGAGTTCGAGTCCTTGGATCCCCGTGGAAGTGGCCCCAGTTACCGCAGGTTGTCCTCGATCCTCTACTACAGGTGTGCTCCTCGCCCCCCAAAGGACAGAGAAATGCAATAAAAAGTGCAAGTCATTTTTTTTGTTTTGTTTTCTGAGACAGGGTTTTGTGTGTGTGTGTGTGTGTGTAACAGTCCTAGCTGTCCTGGAACTAGCTCTTGTAGATCAGGCTGGCCTTGGACTCACAGAGATCCACCTGCCTCCGCCTCCCAAGTGCTGAGTCTAAAGGCATGCCACCACCCAGCCTGCCACCCTTTTGTTGTTGTTGTTGTTGTTAGACAGGTGACAAAATGTGAGTTTCTTCTATTGCATTAGTTATGCAAGAGAATGCTCCAAATGCACCCGAAAAGCATAGCGAGGGGAAACAGTCTGCAACTTACCAGAGAAGGGGAAGAGAGAGCGAGGGAACACACGCCACAGTTCTGGTTAAAAAGCATAAGGGGAAAAAAAACACATGAACTCTACTTGGTTGAAGGCCTTCATGCTGAGACGGGTGGAGCTGGAGCTGGAGGAGGCGCAGGCAGGACAGGGAGAGCTCTGCAGACTCAAGAGTGTCCAGGAGATCTCTACAGACTCAAGAGTGTCGTGTGCAACAGAAGCCAAGACAGGCTGCATGCTCATGGCCTAGGGTGTCAGTGCCTTTGCTGCTTCCCACCCCGCCTCTGGATTGGCGGAGAGGCAGCCGGTCCTTTTTAAGGGCCGTTCATGGACTTGAGTATCTGTGCAGGCTGCAGAGGGGACATCTCCTGCAGGTGCCTCTACTGAAGCAAAGGGGCTTCTAGAACCCTCGAAGTCAGGATAATTGGTTTCATTCTCATCGGCTGCCCATCTGATTTTTGGTTATCGGAAGACATTTTTGCTCTTATTCATGTTTCCGTTAGGTGCTGTTTTATTTTACACTTGGCATTGGACCTAGGGCTTCACGCATGCGAGGCAAGTGCTCCACTGAGCTGCGAGCCCCAACTGTACTGTGCTAAGAGCTCTTGTTCTTATCTGCTGTGTCCTTCCATCCAGCCCAGGGACAGAACTCTGCGGGATTTCTAAACTATGAATTGGATCTTGGCTTTGGATGGCATTTCCCTGGTAGCACCCCTGTACTTCCCTTCCCTTCGGTCCTGGGCAGGCATATCTGAGAGTCACAGTCACAGACGCCCCCAGGAGCCCCTGAACAGTCAGACTTTCTTCTAGCCGGGTGTGGTGGCACACAACTTTAATCCCAGCACTCAGGAGACAGAAGCAGGTGGATCCCTGAGTTCAAGGCCAGCCTGGGCTACAGAGCAAGTTCCAGGGCAGCCAGGACTATCTATAGCATTAGACCCTGTCTCAAAAAAGCAAATGAAACCTAGAATCTTCCAAAGCCTGACATCCATGGCAGCTGCTGCTGCTTCTGGGTCTTCAGCAGGAGGGTGGGAGACCTCAGCCAATGCCAGCTGGCCACTCCCTCGGGGTTGTCTGTTTTCCTGTGATCATCAATTAGCTGGAAATCGCAGGGATCTGTGGCAGCCTTACACCTGTGCCACTCAGGCCCTGCAGGAGTCAGCAAGCAGTGGGGTTGGGCTCCAGCACGTGCAGGTATGGTGCCTCTTGCTCAGTTTGGTTTTCTGTTGATCTCATCCATAAAGTGGAGCTGCTCTGTTTGAATACCATGTGCTGCGTGTGTGTTTACATATAAAGGTGGGCTGTGCACATACCAGGCTGGACTATCATGTGCTGCGTGTGTGTTCACATGTAAAGGTGGGCTGTGCACACACCAGGCTGGAATACCATATGATGTGTGTGTGTTCACATGTAAAGGTGGGCTGTGCACATACCAAGCTGGAATATCATGTACTGCATGTGTGTTCACATGTAAAGGTGAGCTGTACACACACCAGACTGGAATACCATGTGCTGTGTGTGTTCACATGTAAAGATAGGCTGCACACACACCAGGCTGGACCACTCAGTCTGTCACAATTCAGTTGTCTCTGGGTCTTCATTAACCCCTGACAGATGAGGACAATCACTTCTCGCTGCCTGGCCTGGTGCTAGGGGTGCTCAGTAGATATCTGAGCAGTTGTCTGTGTACTATGTATCGGGCAGAGTGGTAGCCGTATCCATTGGACCCCAGAAGACTTTTACCCCATCACCTGCACATCAGAAGACTAGTTTTGCCTGTGCTGGTGTGACGTCATTGTAAGAGAAAGCCTGTGGTCTTGGTATCTGGGGAGAAGTCCTAAGGTCCCAGGTGACTTCAAATGTCACACTGGGAAAGGGGACTGGATGGGGACCGGGGTGTTGTACTCAAGGGCTCTGCCCGCCAGGTTCCCTCTCCACATATTGTAATATTCCCCCGCTGTTTGGGATTCAGTTGTAGTAAGTGAGATGGAGGGAAGGACAGGCTCTGAGCAGCATAGCAGTGGGAAACAGGTTCTTGGGACGATGACAGCAACCACACAGGTTCCTGCTGTCCCTAGAGAGAAGTATGCCTTCAGATGAGTGGTCAGCAGCTGAGGATGAAGGCCAGCTGTCCCGTCTCCTCAGGAAATCGAGGGACTCCCCGTTCGTCCCTATGGGTAAGTACCTGCCTTGATGGTCCTCAGAGCTCAGCCTCTCTGGGGTGACTCTGCCCGTGTGCGTACATTCCGTGATTCTCCGAAGCTTGCCCCTCAGAGCAGCATAGATTGAGCTGGGGGATACTTTCTAGTTCACACGCCAGTGGATCTTAGCTATCGTTTTATTGAGTTTTACACACTTCATCACAAGCCTATCTCATGTTTTTATATTTACTGTTTTATTTGGGGGGGCGCTGTCACACGCACGCCACAGCAAGCATGTCAAAGGACAACTTTTGGGGACTGGTTCTCTTCTTCCGCTATGTGGGCTCCAGGGATCAAACCTAGAACATCAGGCTTGGCAGGAAGCACCTTTGCCTGCTGGGCCATCTCATCAGTCCCTAGAGGTCTATCTAAAATGATTAGTTCACACCGACTCAAACAGAACTCCCTGAATAGACTCACGTTTCTGGCTGAGGACCGGAGCAGCAGTTCAGCATGCTGAGGGTCGGCTAGAACCGCCTGTCTCTGTTCTGCGCATCACTTGTAAGTCTTGGTGTCTGCAGTTACAGGTTTTCCCTGCACCACTGTCAAGTATGATTGAGAACTTTACTCCTAGGGGGCTGGGATGCAGCTCAGTTGGTAGAGTTGGCTTGGCTTGTGCACAGCACTAGGTTCAAGTCTCCTTACAGATGAGTGCAGGTTGGCAGATCACTCTCTAAGTCCACCACTCAGGAAGACCTGAAGTTCAAGGTCAGCATCACTACAGAGGAAGATCAAGACCAGCGTGAGCCACGAAAGACCCTGCCTCAAAAGAGAGAGACAACAGAAGGAAAAACAAGCCCCTCAGATCCCGGTAATGACAGATTAGCCTCCGTGTCTGTTGCACATTAAGGCAGTGTTCTGCAGGAACAGAGTGTCTAATGCGCAAAGATGAAAGCTCCCAGCTAAACTCAATTACGTGCAGAGCAGAGACACTGGGAACAGAACGGCACTGACTTAGATCTCCCAAAGGGACAGAACCTTTTAGTGAGAACCGGACTTGATCAAGGGAAGAGTCTGGTTTCAACTAGGAAACAAATAAGGATAAAGTTTGTATGCATTGTTGAAGTTTCATTTACCTTTTATAATTTTAATAATAGTTACAGGATATTTTGCCACAGAATGGACTGTGTTATACAGATAATTTACAAAATACTCCTATTGATCATCTGAAATCACATCCATCAAATATGATTTATTGGGATGGGACCCAGAACTAGAGGGCTTGCCTCAAACATGTATGCCCTGGGGTCCAATTTGAAGCACTGTGAGATAAATCAAAATAAGTCTATGATCTTCTTATTTTTTGAGACAGGACTTCCCTACATAGCCTTGGCTGACCTGTAACTCCCTATGTAGACCAGGCTAGACTCGAACTCACAGAGATCTCTTCTTATAACATTTTGTAGGTTTACAGTTTCTCTTCTGCTCAGTGTAGCACAAATAATAAAAACCCAGAGACAGATATTAGGGTTCAACCTGAAGATCAGAAAAGCAAAGCAGCCAGCCACTGACTCTTACCACTACCTCGGACCGAAAATGGGCAATCCTGCCTCCAGAAATTGAGACTGAGACCTGTCTCCTCCCGTCTTATGTTCCTCTCTAGTGCTGATTAAAGGCGTGCAGCACCACCACCCGGCCTCTATGGCTAACTAGTGTGGCTGCTGGGATTACAGGTGTGTGCCACCACCGCCTGGCCTGTATGGCTGACTAGTATGGCTGCTTTGCACTGATCTTCAGGCAAGCTTTATTTATAAAAACGCAATATATCACTATAGTTCAGGCAATTTAGGGCTTTTAGTTTTTCCTCAGATTGATACAATCATGAGTATTTTTGTGTCATATTCTGTACTTTTGCTATTTTCTTGGAATATATTCCAAAAGTGAAATTTCTACATTAGGAGGCATGAGCAGTTTAAGATCATTGTAATTTTTTAGAGCCCGGTGGTGGTGGCGCAGGCCTTTAATCCCAGCACTCGTGAGGCAGAGAGAGGAGAATCTCTGTGAGTTTAAGGACAGCCTGGTCTACAAGAGCTAGTTCCAGGACAGCTAGGACTGTTACACAGAGAAACCCTATCTCGAAACAAGAAAAAAGAAAAGAAAAGAAAAAAAGAAAGGAAGGAAGGAAGGAAGGAAGGGAAAGGAAGAAAGAAAGAAAGAAAGAAAGAAAGAAAGAAAGAAAGAAAAAAAAAAAAAAAAGAAAGATCATCTATCTGCTTGCTTTTGCCTGGGATTAAAGCCATGTACCACCACCACCGAGGGAGTTAAAAAATCCTATGTGTGTATGTGCCTGTGTATGTGAATATGTGTGTGTATATGTCTGTATGTGAGTGTGTGTGCACGCACGCGTGTGCGCGCGTACATGGGCATGCACCACATGCGACCTGCAGGTGCAGGAGACAAGAAGAGGTGTCAGATGCCCTGGAGCTGAAGTTTCAGGCAGTCCTGAACTGCCTGACTTGGGCTACAGGAACCAGACTCTGGTCCTCTGGAGAACAGTGAGTGTTTTTAACTGCTGAGTCATCCGTCTCTCCTCCCTCCTTAAGTATTTGTGTGTGTGTGTGTGTGTGTGTGTGTGTGTGTGTGTGTGTGAGAGAGAGAGAGAGAGAGAGAGAGAGAGAGAGAGATTGGAAGGGCAAGTATGGAGGTCATAAGACAACTATATCTTCAGCTTTCTTCCCTTAAGTGGGATCCAGAGACCGAACTCAGGCTACTGGGTCCCAACAGCAGTCCGCGAGCCGCCAAACCATCTCACTGGCCCTGTCATCGCTGTCTTATTGGCTTCCCTTTTACTGTGTATACATCTTGTACTTCAACCATTTCCCTCAGCCCATTCACTAACGAGTCTATAAAACACACCTCATTTTGATCGTTTACCCTGGTTCTTTCTTCACGGTACCAAAGAGACCGTGAAGGCTATGGACGTCACCTATCCCTAGGATCTCCTGTGCCAACATAATTAACCAGAACTTCTTATCCTCATAAGAAGAATTCGCTGCATTCTGTAAACCATGAACAAACACGCAGATCCTATAGTTTAAGAGGGGAAATCCATTTATAGACATCATAAAGAAAATACTTAGGTATAAACTTAACACGTGCATGCTGACAATTGCAAAACTCCAATGAGATAAATCACAAATGACCTGAATAAACAGACTACCTACTGTGTTCATGAATTAGTATTAATTATATGTTGTAATATAGCAATGAGGTCAGGTCTCCCCAAACAGATTCATAGGTTTAATGTAATTCCCATTACAATTCCAACAAGGTTTTTGTGACCACAGTGCTTGCCTTGTAAGCACGTGGACCTGAGTTTGACCTCTGGAACCCACATAGAAAAGGCCAAGGGCATGGAGCCTGCTCACTTGGATCCCAGCACTGGGGAGGTGAAGCCAGCAGATCTGTAGGACTCGGTGGCCAGCCAGGCTGGCCTGCTTGGTGAGTTTCGGGCCAGGGTGAAGAGCACGTGAGGAATGACACCCTTAGGCTGTCTGCTGGCCACTATATTTTGTGCACACAGGTGCACATATACATACGCACATACACAGACACACAAAAGACAAGCTTAGAGCCTAAGGTGTAACGTGGAAATTGTGGATTCTCCAGTAGCTAAAACAGTGCTTGAGACCAGTCTCGAGGCCTTGCTCACGAAAGGAAAATGTTCTAACACCGAGATTTTGGGCTTTTTGTTTTTTGAGGTAGTCTCCCTGTCTAACTCCTTGATCCTCCTGCTTCAACCTCCCAAGCGCCTGCACTACATGTGTGTGCAGCGTGTTCTGTTCTGGGGTTTGTTTGTTTAAGATAAAGTGAAAGGAGGCATTCTGCCTCCTAGTTCGGATGACCCAGACACTGCGGCTGCTGATGGAGAGATACATAGATCAGTAGAGTAACCAGAGAACCCCAAAGTAGAAGAGCACCATGTTTTTAAAAATATTTTTACTTAAACATTTTTTAGATTTATTTTTAAATTTTTTCTGTGTATGGGTGTTTCCATAGGTATGTATGTTTCTATAGAACGTGTGTCTGGTGCTCCTGGAAGCCAGAAGAGATTTACAGTTTGCCTGCCTTGGATTTCCTTTAAACGCTAATAAAATTGCTCTTGAGCTTAAAGAAAAAAATGAAAGGAAGAAAGAAAGGGAGAGAGAGAGAGAGAGAGAGAGAGAGAGAGAGAAGAAAGAGCAAGCTAATATGAGATGAGAGGTGGAGAACAGAATAGCTAGCCTGAGATTTGCAGTGCATTAGCAAGAGGAAATATAAAAACAGATTCCCAAATATACCCAAATTCAATCCTTCAATCTCTTTTCCTCTCTCTCTAAATAAATTCTTAAAAACTATAGTTTTGAGTATGTTTATTGTTCAGTAAAATTTCTACTGCTGTGATAAAACACCATGTCTAGAGACTGGAGAGATGACTCAGCAGTTAAGAGCGCTGGCTGCCTTTCCAAAAAACCCAGGTTCAATTTCCAGCACCCACATGGTAGCTCACAACCATCTATAACTGCAGTCCTAGGGTATCCAATGTCATTTTCTGGCTTCTGTGGGCACTGAACACATGTGGTACAAAAACATATACATATAAAATAAAACATCATGACCAAAACCAACACAGCGACAAAAAACGGTTTATTTGGTTCATCTCATCTAGCATCCTGCTATGGAGGAAAGCCAAGGCAGGGCTGGAGGCGGGGACAATCCCAATGAAATCATGCTGCCCACTGGATTGATGTAATATGAAGGGCCTGCTTATTGGGGTATCAGTCCCATCCGGTACCCCACAGCTGGCAAGCCCCAAAGAAAATCACACAGAGGACTCCATAAGATTTGTAGTGAGAGGCCAGTAGGCCTGCTTTTCGTCCCGCCCGGCTCCCACATGGTTAGCTTTATACCTGAAATGACAACACACAAATTGTATTCATTTAAACACTGCCTGGCTCGTTAGTTCTAGTCTCTTATTGGCTGATTCTCACATCTTGATTAACCTATTTCTAATAATCTGTGTAGCACCACGAGGTGGTGGCTTACCGGGAAAGATTCAGCATGTCTGACCTGGCAGCTGGCTCCCCGGTGTCTGCCTGCCTCTGCTTTCTTTCTCCCAGCATTCTGTTCTGTCTACTCTACCCACCTATGTTCTGACCTATCAGGTCAAGCAGTTTCTTTATTAATTAGCCAATGAAAGCAACACTCAGAAAGAAGACCCACCTACACTAGATTAATCTGCTTTACTTTCTCAGACTGTTTTCTTAGACCTACGGGCACCCTGATGGAGGCATTTTCTCAACAGTGGTTCCTCTTCCCAGATGACTCCATCTTGCATCTAGATGACAAAAACCTAGCCAGCACACAGGGTTTCATGTAGCCCAGGCTAGCCTTAAACTCCCTGCACAGCGGCATCCTGATTACAGACATGGACTGCCACACCAACTTTAAGCCATGCTTGGGACAATCTTAGGCTTCAAGTCATGCTAGGCAGGTCCTCCATTATAGCTCTTTTGAAGGTCCTCTTTGGTACAGGTTGGGCATTTGAAATCCAAAGTTTCAATATGCTTCAAAATCTGGGTCCCCGTGACTGTGATGCCTTGAGGGGAAGGTTCCACACCTGCTCTCATGTGAGGTGTCACCTACCGTCCAAGTGAATAGGTGTGTGAGGCAAACACAGGTTTGCTTTTCAGACCTAGGTCCATCACAAAGTATCGTGCAGTACAGATATTCCAAAATCTACACCACCTGCAAGCCTGGCTTCTGGCCCCAAGCATGTTAGACGGGGGCACTCAGCCTACAATTTGACTGCCCGTCTTCCGGGTAGCTGCCCTGTACCCTTGCCTCCTGTTTATCCACTCATGGTTTAAATTCACAGGGGTGGCAGGTTTTGTGGCTGTGCTGTCCTGCGGTCTCTACAAGTTGAAGTCCAGAAGAGATGAAAAGCTGTCCCTTCGTCTCATCCACGTGCGGGTCGCTGCCCAAGGCTGCGCTGTGGGAGCCGTGACCCTAGGTAAGGTTTCTCGGGGCCAGCTGTGCTCCACAGGTGTGGACAGGTGTGCACATCTGTGTGTATGTGTGTACTTTTTTTTATTCTGTTTATTCTTGGTAGAAGATAAATATTGGCGTGAGACAGTATGAGGCTACAGATAAAAAGATTCACCTTGGGTACTGGAGAGATGAAGCAGGTAAGAGCACTGGCTGTCTTTGCAAAGGACTCAGGTGCAGTTCCCAGCACCCACACGGTAGCTCAGAACCACTTGTAACTCCAATTCTGAGATCGGAGAGTTGTGGAATCTTCTTCTGGCTTCTTCAGCATCAGGCATACACAGTGTGTACATCCATACTTTCAGGTCCTCTTATCACCAAGCGTCACAGCTCAGCTATGAGGAGCCTCCAAAGGTTCGTGGCTTGGCTGGCCTCATAGGCTTTCAGGAAGCGACCGCTAGTGTGTTCCCTCAGGAAAATCTGATCTGGTAATGTATAGGGACATATTTTTGTTTGTCCTGCTGGGATTGAAAGGCAGGGGCAGAAGGAAGGGCTGCTTCCAGGAGGCCTGCAGTGTGCAGGGCATCCAGAGCAGACAATGTAGCCTCAGCTGGCAGCAGCACTGAGCCTACGAAACCGCCATTGAGGCAGCCAGTCAGAGTGATTGTCCTGACTCCGAGTTCACCGACCCCCTTTGTGGTGCACAAGTAGTCCTGGCTCCCTTCTCAAGTCCCGATAGCGCTTTCATTCCGAGAATTGTTGCAATGAGCTGCTGGCTTCCCCGAACTCAGTGGGGACTTAGAGATCCAGATCTTAACGGGGCCACTGGCAGCATCTGATCAGCAAAGGCCAGGGATGCTTGATCGTTGTGATTAGCAGCAGTCCATACAGCAACCAGCACAGGCTAAGCCATAGAGATGGGGGTGGGGGGAGCTGGCTACAGTGGGGACCCTGGGCACAGTGACCCTAGAGCTGAAAGTGGAGGTCCTGGTACGGTGGCCCTAGAGCTGAAAGTGGGGGTCCTGGTTACAGTGGCCCTAGAGCTGAAAGTGGGAGCCCTGGTTACAGTGATACATCTATGTATAAACAAATGTACTATGATCATCTCTCTAACTTTCCCTGAAGAGACGTGTAACCATTTTCCAGAGACCTGTGCACCAAAGGGAGGAGAGGCACATTGTCTGGGGTGGGTTGAACACTGGCTGGACCACACTGGACCACCTGACAGCACCACACTGAAGTGCCACTCAAAGGAAGAGTCTGTAGATGTCTATGCTTTGTAGAGGGTCCGTATCACCACAGCCTGCTGCTTCCTGTCCCGACCATGTTCGTCTCTAATTCTGGATTGTGTAATTGGAATACACGCACATACACACACGCATATACGCATGCTCAGAAACTTTCAGAATTCTTCCACAATTTGGCACTGTTGTGTGGGCCGTGCGCATGGGAGGACACACATATGGCACACGTGAAGCAAGACATGTGTGTGCAGCACAGCTCTGTGGAGTGGTTCTGTCCACCTTTCGTGGTTTCTGAGGTCACTGGGCTTGTGAGGCAGATGCCCTCACCCCCTGAGCTGTCCTGCCAGCATCTGTCAGCATCCCCACACTGGTACCCTGCCCTGTAAGAGCCATTACAGTACAGGGCCAGTAAACCAAGTGTCGCTGTATTTCACAGGACGATCACTCTGTCTCAAACCATTAGACTCACAGTACACGGATTGAAATCCCCATTCAAAATGTCTCCATGGCTATGGAGAGAGCCCAGTGGTAGGGTGCTTGCTGAGAATGTAGGAGGCCCTGAAATTGAACAAAACAAGGCATAAAAATCATGGTGGCACACATCCCAGCACTCAGTAGGTGGAGACAGGCTTGTCAGATGTTCAAGGTTAGCCTGAGACTCTAGCAAACCCTTTGAATTGTAGAATTCCCATCCTATACATAAAGGGGTCCTTAGGAATCTGGGAAGAAAATACTGTATCTTGAAAATAAAAAAGCTAATCAGATGTGGGAGGTCCCACACGTCCTTCCCTTTGAGTCCAGGAATAGAGGCCATACTGGGCAAGGCAGCCAGATCTGTCCCAAAAAGAAACAGACTAAAATAAAAAATAATAATGCTTTGCTAATATGTGCATTGTTTATATTAAATTTATAGTTTAAAAATAAATTCACATGCCTATAATACCAGCGTTGAAACTGAGGCAGGAGGCTACCAGCTGAAGGTCAGTCTGTGTCCAGGCTGCATAACAAAACCTTGTTTCAAAAAAGACACATTTTGAGGGCATATTCTATATATTTCTTTCTTTCTTTTTGTTTGTTTCTTTGTTTTTCAAGAGAGTGTCTCTGTAGCTTTGGAGCCTGTCCTGAAACTAGCTCTTGTAGACCAGGCTGGCCTCAAACTCATGGGGATTCACCTGCCTTTGTCTCCCGAGTGCTAGGATTAAAGGCATACGCCACCACCGTCCAGCCTCAATGTATTTCTTTACACACAATTTAAAAACTTTGAGAGGCAGGAGGATGGCTTGATAGTAAAGCACTAAGTGCTTACTGCCTAAGTGTGAGAAGTGAGTTCAGATTCCCGGGACTCACATAGAGCAGGTACAATGTGCAATCTGTAACCCCAGTGTGCCTGTGGTGAGATGGGAGCTGCTTGGCCAGCTAGCCTGGTGTACACAGGACCTGACAACAGAGACACCCTGTCTCAAAGCAGAAGTGACCCCACACACGTGCTAGGGTGCAAGCATGCCTACTCTCACACACACAAACACACAAACAAAAGTTAAATCTACTAAGAAGCTTGGGTATCACTGTTAGCAATGGAGCTGTGTGTCGTAGACATGAGGGTCACGCTCTTAGGTCTCGCTTAGAGAATCAGTTTACCAGTGAAGCGACAGGTCTGTGAGCTGAGATGAAGATACTGTGACCTTAGAGAAGTGGGTGATAAGAACAGGAATCATCTCTAACAAGACAAAAGAAACGAGTCCGGATCTCTCTGCCAGTCAGAGGTTTTATCTGCTATGTGTTGAGACAGTCTCACTATCCAGTGCTGGCCTCAAACCCCGGGTAGCCAAGGATGACTGAACTTCTGACAACATTCCTGCCTCTGCTGTCTGCATGCCGGAATTACAAGCAGGTGCCACCATGCCTGGTGTATGTGGTGGTGGTGGAGGGGATCAAGCCCAGGGCTTGTGGTGGAGGCTAGACAAACATCCTTAGCGACCTCTCCATCCTGGAAACGCCATCAGTTACAGTGATTTCAGCTAAAGAGAAAAACATTTGGGCTTGAATTCTACGCATCAATTCTAGTTGTTTTAATATTTCACTCCAAAATTTTTGCAGTTTGTGCCTCAGTTTACTATCATGTGGAGCTGCAAGAAGCCCTAGGGAGCCCACAGTGGGCAGTCTTGGGGGAAGTGAACGACTCAGATGACTAGGTACCCAATGCCTTGGCAGGGAGATAGGATGGCAATGAGAATTCAGCCGAGTCTTCCAGCTCCTCTACCTTTTGGACATTTGGAGATTTACTAACACGTCAAGGGTTCATGAAGGTACCCCCTTTCCTTCTGAGCCTATTTTACCTGTGTATTTCCACTCCCAACCTGATCATAGTCCTAGGACCTTGTAGAAGCCACAACCAGCATCTGCTTCTCAGCGCTAATTCCTGCACTGGCTATAATCCCAGAGCGGGGGCTTTTAGTCATGTGTGTCTTGACCTGCTAAGCACAGGCAGATATTGAACATGTGACTGGTTAATTCAGATGTCTAAATCTGATCAAACATCTGATCAAAGCATTTCCCAAGATTTGCTTTGTTTTGCTCCTTTGTGAGACAGGATTTCATGTACCGTAGGCTGGCCTCAAATCACTGTGCAGCCAAAGACGATACTGAACTACTCTTGCCTCTGCCTACCAAGCACTAGGACTGCTGGCATGTGTCACTGAGCCAGCCACGGTGGCCCACACCTTTAACACTGATACTCAGGAGGCAGAGGCAGGAGGTTCTCTGTGGTTCAGAGTCAGCCTGATCTATATATTGGGTTCCAGGACAGCATGGAAAAAAACATCTCAAAAACCAACAAAAATGTAAACTTGGGGATAGTGTGACAGTCTACGTTCATAACAATATTGGTTTCTAAATTTCAAAAAATTGTAGAATTTGCATCTTTATGAGTTTGTGTCTGTGTGTGTGCACATGCGCACCTGTGTCAATATGTCCGTGTGTGTGCACGCATGTACTCTTATATCAATATGTCTGCGTGTGTGTGTATGCACACCTGTGTTAATATGTCCGCGTATGTGCGCATGCACACCTGTGTCAATATTGACTTAAACGTAGGTGCTGTCTGATTCTGCAGCCTCTGTGTGGACCTGAGAGGTTGTCTGTGTCTTTATTTCGCAAGTGTGCTGGTTTCAGAGAAGCATGCGGGAAAGCGCCAGCATCTGCGTCTCGTGGGCACTACTGATGTGCAATGCCTTCCTGTTCCAGGCGTCCTCTATTCTATGTATAAGGACTACATCAGACCTCGCTTCTTCGATGGACCCAAAAAATAAAGCCAGAAGCTGAAAGCAAGGAGAACACAACCCTTCTGAGTGCAGGTCCTTAGAAAAGGAGTCTGACGGTGTGCGGACCCCACTGCAGACTCTCAGAAAGTCTGTGCTGATGTCTTGGTGTGTTACAGTCATTCTACAGCCACGGCGGTCTCCTGAGAATTACCCTGCTGATGTCCTTTTCCTCGCTCAGTTCCCCTCGCAGCAATAACAGGTCACCAGACATGGTGGCATGTGTCTTTACCTACTGAGGTATCTTGCTAGCATCTTCATTTAAATTTTTTTATTTTAATATTTTTAGATTTTTTTATGTGTATGTTTTGCCTACATGTATGTTTGTGCACCACAGGCATGCCTGGTGCCTGAAGTGTTCAGAAGACAGTACTGGAATCCCTGGGGCTGGGGTTAAGGATGGTTGTTAGCTGCTGTGTGGATGCTGGGAACCAAATTCAGGCTCTACAAGAACAATACATTCCTAACCACTAAGCTGTCTCTGCAGCAACAACCCTCATCTTTAAAAACAAAACAAACAAAACCCAGGATTTTGAAGTTGATACAAAGCCAAGGATGAACCTGAACTTCTGGTCCTCTTGCCTTTATCACCAGGGTGCCAGGATTGCTGGTGTGCACCACCAGGCCCGGATATTTGTTTGCAGAGCTGGGTTGAATCCAGGCTTTCTGTATGCTAGTCAAAGACTCTACCTACCGCCCCGTGTCTCTAGCTCCTGTGTCCTGATGAAGGGACGCTCACATCAACCTTCTAATGGGTTGAATGTGGTATATATTTTCGCTGACAAGAGTGGTGTGGCCTCGAGCGACACGTGAGCTCGTGGCACTTCATCTCTGCCCCTACTAGGACACAAAGCACAGAAGAGAGCTACAGGAATCCTCCGGGTTCTTGACCTCTGTTCAACTACCTCACCTGCTTACGAGTTGTAAAACAGGACATTCTTATCTTTGACCTTTCTTCTCCAACATCAGCTCCCGGGAAAGCAGCACTGAGCAAGAGAACTGGAGGGGAGGGGCCAGTAGACACAACCTAGTTCATCTAGGATTGCAGTCTCTGAAGACACAACTGAAACACAGAAACTTTAATTACCCAAGTGAAAATACTGGCATTGGTTTTGTCTCAATTTTAAGATCAAAGAACTGTGACCTAAATTGTATGGTTGTTCTCTTAAGTCTCAAGAGGGCTATGGCCAGGCATACTGGCACAAATTTTTAATCCCTGCACTTGGGCTGAGGCAAATGATCTCTTTAACTTCAAGGCTAACCTGGAACAGCAAATTCCAGACCAGCCAGAGCTACATAGTTAGATTGTCCAAAAAGGGGAGGGGGGCTCAAGTGGAAGTGAAGGAACTGTCAAGTTCAGAAAACTCCCTGCCAGGTTGTCTAATCCCAGCACTCAGGAGGCAGAGACAGGCGGATCTCTGATTTCGAGGCCAGCCTGGTCTACACAGTGAATTCTTGGACAGTTAGGGCTGCAAAGAGAAAGCCTGACTCGAAACAGAGAATAAGAAAGGAAGGGAGGGAGGGAGGGAGGGAGGGAGGGAGGGAGGGAGGGAGGAAAAAAGAAAACTCCCTGGCACTTAGAGGACAGATAATATAGGCATACCTGGAGACACACACATACACACACACAGACAGACAGACACACAAACACACATACACACAGATACAGACATATATACAGACACACACAGACACACACACACACACACACATGCACACACAAACACAAAATCACTTACTAAACAGTACTGTTTTAGAGCAAAGCAGAGAGATCAGACAATTGCATTCAATGCCAAAAGATAAACGTGACATTTAACAGCATCAAGGTCTGTGGGGTTTGAAGACTCAGCACCCAGGGAGCCAAGAAGGAAATGCATGGCTCGAACGCCATTGTGGGACATGTGGCAATGACAGTGGGCGGGCAGGATCCCGCTCCAGCCTACTGGACTACCGTGTAAGATGTGGGTCCAGTGCTGTAACCCATTCCTCAAGAAGACGGTTGTGGGGGCTGGAGATGGCTCAGTGGGTAAGAGCATTGAGTGTTCTCTCAGAGGACCTGGATCAGTTCCCAGCACCTACATGGCAGCTCACACAACTGTCTGTAACTCCGGTTCCAGGGCATCCAGCACCTTCATACAGACATACATGCAAGCAAAACACCAATGTACATAAAAATAAACTATTTTAAAAAACTATTAGGATAAAAGTGTGTGTGTGCGCGTGTGTGTATGAACTGCTGGAGATCAAACCTCAGACCTTGCCTAAAGCAGGCAAGAACTCCACAATGGAGCAGTACTCCGAACAAAAGCTTTTAGTTATTCAATGTGAATTTATTATAAAGTTTAAGAAGGGGATTTAAGAAGCTACACAGGGGCGCTGTGTGGACTGATTATCTGCGTTCTCATCCAGTACGAGCCTCACACCACTTGCTACACACACCTTAAAATGCTTAGGGTTCCCCAGGACACTCAACGGCATCAATAAGAGTGACCCTGAGAAACAGGGTCTACCATGGCATGCTGAGTGTCAGTGCTTCAGTGGGCGGGGACACCACGGCCTGGCAAACACTGGAAAACAGTGGCAGCAGATCCAATCAGTGTGAAAACAGATGGGAGAAAGGCTCTCATTAGAACTGATGTGCCAGGGACTGGGGGGACATTTCAGTTAGTGAAGCACCTGCTGTCCCAGAAGGCCTGAGTTCGGGTCCCCAGCTCTGCATGAACTCCAATTGTAGTGAATCTGTAACCCCAGTGTTGGGGCACAGGGGCAGGAGGAGTCCCCAAACTCACTGGCCAGGCAGTGTAGCCAAGCAGTGAGCTCCATGTTCAGAAAGTCGGTGACTCACAAAGTAGGGTAGAGAGATGAAAGAAACGCCTGATGTCAACCTGTGGTCTGCACAAGCATGTAGACATACAAGCACACACTTGGACATCCATGTGTGAGTACACACACACATGCACACACATACACTCACGCTCACACATACACTCACGCTCACACACACACACACACTTTAAGTGATACACAAGTATTAGCAGCTACCAAAGAGACATCCTGGTGCATGACAATGAACTGAAACCACCAGTGCAGCAAAATAGTACTTTCAAAGATCGTTAATGTAGAAAGTCCAATGTAAAAAGATTCATTCCCTTTCTTACTTAGGATCCAGATAAAAACAAATACCTAATTTACCTGAACATTTTCTTAAAAAAAAATCTATCAGTTTTTATAACCTTAAAATCTTACCCAAACTGGCATGTTCAGGTTTACATAAATACGTATTCATACATTTTTAATCCCCAGAAGTGCAGGCACGAGCCTGTGGGGAGCATGGCTGCCCAGGCCCACTGTTTACCACTCCCTACTGTCTGACTGCTGGAGGCAAGCGGGGCTCGAACCCATGCACAGCTCTTAGCTTTTACCCTGGATCTCACAAGGAAATCTCTGCCTTTGTTCAAAACATCTGAACAAGCTCACCTCGGAACTAACAGATTTGCTAACAGACACTTGGCACAAAAGGGCTGAGAAAAAGTGTTCTTAAAGTCTGTCGGGCTGTTCGTCATCTAGCACAAATGAGTCGGCATCCACGGCGTTCAGAAGGGGGAGTCCAGGCTGATCTGTCAATCCCAGGCGACACTGAGCATTCGGGAAGCAGAGGCAGGTGGATCTCTGTGAGGTAGCCAATAAGAAGCTAGAGCTAATGGGCCAAGCAGTGATTTGAATAATATAGTTTCTGTGTGTTTATTTTGGGGCCAGGAACCAACAAGCGGCTTCCTCCAACAAACAAGTGTAACATTGGCCCAGAGTCCATCCATCCAAAAGGCAATCATCTCTCGTGATTTTCATGACTAATGTAAATTTTTCAGAAATATTTTTGAGTTGTAGATAACCCATTGTCCAATGGTAACAGGATACTAACCATCAGAATGTGGCTCTGTGGCCCTTGGGAATGGGCTAGGTTTTCATTTATGTCTGTTCAGAGTTAAGTAGGGAGATGGGTTTTCAATGAATAATTCATTATAATGGAACTGGGGTTTTCTAAAGTGAGCTGTGTGTAGCACTCAAAGATTCATGGTGAGCTTATTTGAGGTTGTGCCTACATTAGGAGGTCAAATCTCCCTCTGATAAATTTGATAGTGTTTAGTCTACATTAGGGATAATTTTAGAACTACTCTCGTGTCAGACATTTTTCCAAATTATACTTGCAAACAAGAAACCACATCAGAAAACTGAGTTGGTAGGAACATCAGTTACTTTCAATGTGCCTTTACCCTGCCAGGTTTCTGTGTCCTCTCAGTGGCTGACTTTGGTAGCAAGAGAGCCAAGTTTTCCTGATAAATTATTGTAAAAAAAAAAAAAAAAAAAAAAAAAAAAGATGTTTTTAAAAATTTTAAGTTATAATTCACCCCAAAGCCCTTGGGTTTTATTTTTAGCTCTCAGAGACCATGTGATTGCAGACAGTGAGAAGTAAGAAGTAACTGTAAGGGAAGGGTTCAAAGAAAGATAAACAGATGTTTAATATGGCTTAGCCTGGGACGCAAACTTTTCCTTCTTTCTTTCCTCCATCCCTCAGCTGAGTCTCCAGCCTGAGCATTTTTCAGAGCAGGTATTTCCAGAGGGCCCTTGAATGTCTGTGGATAATAACAAAGTGAGTGATGTTCTAACCAACTCGGCCCCGTGGAGTCTAACTAGAAAGAGTGCAGCCCTCAAATGTGCAGAGTGGAGGGAAAGGGAGTTGTGGGGTGTTTGAAATGGGAAGTGTTCACACTTCCTGTTCACAGGAATTGATGGCTTTTTAAAACTCTGAATGACTTGATCAAAGGAGTGTTTGTAAGAATTCCTCTGGCAGTGACATGCTAGATGGCTTCAGTGCAAACTCTGCACAACACTGCGGAGCCTCCAGCTTATCGGGTGCAGATGTGGAGAGCACGTCCACACATGTGGACATGTGCGTAGGTCTGTAGCTTCCTCTCGTTCACCCCACGCCCTGAGTTCACACTTTCTTTACTAACCTCACACCTCACAATTCAATCCCCACACTGGGTGGAACCACTGAGCAGGTTATATAAGGAGCTTCCTCTGTGTCGCCTGAGCTACTTATTACACGGATATGATTCACAATGGGGTCCCAACAAGGTTATATTTAAAGCAAAGA